ATGTGGAAAGGGGTACTGCCATTTGAACCACGTCAGACTGGAGAAAAAAGATGACACGACTGCTGCTAAGAGTATTAGGCATTAATTTTAACTAAGATACACGGCACGGGCTCTGTGAGTATTAGCAGTTAACATGCATATAGACTGTATTCTGTGATACTGCAGATTTACAGAACCATGTCCCTGTTAATCTATTTTGCAGTTAAAAGTTTGTTGGGAGTGCAGGGGAGACCAAAATAAATTTTGAGAGCTGACCCACTAATTCCATACACTGACCCAAAGCTTGTGGCAAATTTTGTTACCATAGACACACATGCTTAACCTTAAGTCCTTAACTGCATTACCACAGTCTTCTCTATCCCAAAGTTGCCACATATCCTAAGACTTTCAGAGATTGGTATGAATTTCCAAATGTAAAAGTACGTGCAGATTGTATTGGGAGTGGTCTCATCCCAGAATTTCCAAATGTAAAAGTACATGCAGATTGTATTGGGAGTGGTCTCATCCCAAGATGAACACTAAGGATAATATGTAAGTACCAGAACCACAGAATCGTAGAAAAGATAAATAAGTATTTATAATTTCATGTAATAGAACCACATGAGAGTAAAAGGATGATCTGGAAACTTGACAGGATATTTTGTGTAGGCTCCTAAGAGCTTAATTTAAATCATCCAGAGTTTCAAGTAGTTTCTCTCAAAGGATAAAATTAAAACAAATAAACAAACAAAGCCACAATACAAGAACACCGTGGTTGTAAAGTCAATCACTCAAACGTTCAAAGGACCTGGACTAAAGTGCCTCTATTACCCTTATTGTGTTAGCTCCTTTTGTCTAACTCTGTATGCAAACAGCAGCACACAATACAGAATAGCACGGGAGGGTTGTAAATCACAGGCAGATAGCAAATGCTTGGGCCAAGAATGATTCCAAGATTTTTTTTGTTTGTTTTTACAGCAGGACACAGTGGGGACCTGAAGCTGCGCCACACGACTGTCGCTGCACGGCATCTTGAGAACCAGGAGTCTCCCAGGTCCCTTCCCGCTCACTGCAGAAGGTTCTACACTAAAAATCAGGCCGATTAACATAAACCCCCTTCTAGCATGTTATACCTTGAAGCATAAGCTACGGGGAGTAGGACAGCCAGGGACCACTTAGGTTGGTGGGATGCACCAAGGGTGCACTGTGACCACACAAAGATGCAAATGGACCTGGAGCTCACCGCACAAGGTGAGCCTGAAAGAACAGAGATTATCTGGTCTGAAGAAAATAATAGAGGGTGCTTCAACTACCTCCTTGGAGGGTACAGAAAAGACAAAGCCAGGCTTGTCAGAGGCACGTAGTAAGGATCAGTGTCAGAAAACCAAAAACTCCAATTGGAGAACAGGTAAAGGTTCTGCTTGCTAGGTTTTTTGTTTGTTCGTTTTTTTAAATCATGAGGGTGTTCAAGTGCTGGAGAAGGTCACCAGAGACATTGTAGGATCTCGGTCCTTGGAGGTATTCAAAACTCAACTGGACAAAGTCCAGGCCAATCTGACCTAACTGCACCTGCTCCAGGACTGATCATCTCAAGATTTCCCTTCCAACCTCATTTTTTATGATTCTAATGTTACATGATACTGTGAGCATGCTTTCTACTCACTCACTGCACAATAGTCATGATTGGACCCACCAGGATTTAAAACTCTTTGGGACAGACAAGCAGCTGCTCTCACCAGCTTCCAACTTCTACTTTTCCTCCCAAATGCCACAAGATCACAAAATCTCAGTAAAGCACTTTATGAGCTGTGGGATTCTGATCAGCATAAAGCCAAGAAGTCCTGCTCTTCTATGAATCTTCAGCAGACTTGGGACAGTCTGGTGACTGTTCTCAAGTCACATTCTCATTACTATGAGTAGCTGAAGGAAAAACTGCACATCATCCTGAGACAGCCTTAAAACTTCTCATTTTTTTCATCACGTTAAGAGCAAATTTAACATAATTGTACAAACAGCTTAGATGATGGCATCTCATGTGGTAGGAGAAAAGACTACAGGCAGGTTTTTATGGCTTTTGAATTTAAAGAAAAACAGACAGTGAGACGCACTAAATGAAAGTTGGAGATGTACTGTGGAAGATCTGGGTAAGTGCACCCAGTTAAAAGTCTCATTTCCCAAGTTTAAAATAAATCTTGAAGATGGCCTTATAAGATTGCAGTGCTTACCATGACTGGATGCCAAAGGAGGCACCAGGAGGACCAAAAACCATCGTGACCTTGTAATAACTAAAGTGATCACTGCAAATGCTGCTTCTGGACCTGGGATTAGTGGGTTTTCAACTGCTGTCCAGAACCATCTGGGCTCATAAGTTACTTTTGAAGGATCTAAGTGGAAGGAAATTATGAAAAGCAATTTTATTAGCAGTTTGCTGTGCAAAAAAAAAAAAAATTCAAAGGACCTAAAATTTGAAACCTATTCCCTTTGACAAGGAAAACAGTTGTTTCAACTATTTAATGAGAATTTAGTGAATTCTACTTTTCAGATTTTCATGTAGTCCCATAGTAAAACATTATTTACATTGAAAACTCCACTTCTGAAGAACTGGTTTTCAGAAAAAGACTAAGCTCAGACTCAGTTTCTTTCATATTTGAAGTTTTCCAGGAATTATGTTAATATCCAGGAATGTACATTCTTTAAAACAAGGTCCCTGACTGTATCTGACGAGTGCTTAGCACTGCAAGACAAAGTTACTCACTAACGTTACAGAATTTGAGCATATTGTATCACATCCTGCTTGAAATTTAAATGCTGGCATGACTCAAACACAATAACATCTGATAATAGCTAAGTACAAAAAAAAAAAAATGAAGCCTTTTTCATTGAAGTCCAGGAAAACACAACAGTGGGAAAAAGTCTTGGTGCCCTTCCTCACATTATCTGCCCTTCCCAGAGCAGACTGGTTCACTGAGCAGAACAAACAAATGTAGGACACTCACCACATGCACCAGAAAAGTTATGAAGTTATTTGTTTTCCAGCTTGATTTTTAGAGCTGCAGGAAAGATCACCGGAAGGCACTGAGACGGGATTACACAGAGAGGAAAGGTATTCACCGTTGATTTTTGCTATAATCGTGAAACAAGGGTGGCAAAATGCCTGGCCCAAATGCAGATTAGAATTTCCTTTAGCTAGAAATGCAGCTAAGTAGAGCGTAGGAACTGAGTGGAAGCAAGACACGCTTCTGTTTCCACCCCCTTCCCCTTCTCTTTAGCTGATTAAGTCAGTGTTTATAACACCAAACTTCCTTAGAAATAAAAAGGGCAGTAGGTGAACAAGCCTGACTCCAAACAGCTAACAATCACAGCTATGGTGGGTAGGTTTGGTAAATACACAAGCATGCTAACAGATCATATTTAACTTTTACTGTTCAGATTCTATCTGACAATTTGCAGCTTCCTTCCCAAATGATGAAACGAGTAGTTTGGGGCGCAGTTCAGCACCAACACAGATCTAAGCTCCAGGGTTCAGGTTACTCCACAGGCTCTCAGTTAATAACAAAACACAGCAGCTTGGCTGGGGCCCTCCGGTGGGACCTTCATAAAGGAAGAGCCTTCTCCTTATTCTTTTATGTTTTTAATGTTAGCAGCAAATTTCTTTCCCAAGTACAGTGTACGTGGTACCACTGCTGTCTCAAAGTGACTTTCTGCTCTTTATTCCTAAGCACATGGATTTATACATTTGCTGATTTTAAAATTTCATAGTTAGAGTCAGTAATACGCTTTTTAGTTTTTACAGGACAATAAAATTGCTTGCCAGAAGTTTCTGACTTAAAATTCTACACAGCAGATTGATGTAGACCTCTTGATCCTTCTTACCACATTTTTGCCAAGTTAGAGTATAAAATAGCTGTTCTACTAATTGCACCCAGGGATTTGAGTCCAATGTCCAGATAGACTACTAAAGCTGACTCCGTTTTCCCTTTGATCTTGTGTATTCTGTTGCTTGAAAGAATACAGACAGGTGATGGAAAATGCTGGATCTATTGCAAGTACAACTGCTCAAAGACCAATTAACACCAAAAAAAAAACAAACAACCCCAGAATGAACAAGAAGCCAAAATGGAACTAAACCCACAACAGCTGGTGGTCATCAAGGCAATTTTCCCAGAGGGCAGAAGACTGTTACTAATAGGATGGAAATACAGAATTTACTGAGACCAACTGTAACCACTGATACCATACATTGAGAAGTGCCTCATTTCTCACATTTTCTGCAAAGCAAGAGTGAAGCTGGACAGCAATCTTAACTTTTATTGTGGGGCAAAAAAAAAAAAGTGGGAACTGAAACATAGTCCCACTGAACAATTAGTACCAAGAGCTGGTTTTACCGTAATGCTATTTTCATCACATTTAAAAATAACATTCAAGTGATTCCACCCACAGAAATAAATTATTTCTTAGAGTTTAATCAATGTAGTATAGTTCATTAGGAACTGCCCACTGAGATTAAGTTATTTCAGTTACTGCAGAACCTGGATGCTAGAAGCCCCAGCAGAAGATTAAATGAAGTTGCATGTTCTCCCTTTACAACAGCAGAGACTTTGAGATGTTTCAATCACATTACATAAACTTACATTCCTCTACTAACACAAAACATACACTCTTGCCACAGGAGGCAAATACTTCTTATGCTGTTTCCAGCCAATGATTTTAACTTCAAATCCAGAGTAAACATCATCTCTTCGGAGCTAGGAACGTGTCTGTGTGCAAGGAGAACAACCCGCTGCATTATGGTGATAACAACACCTACTAAAACCAGGGCACACACTGAACAGACATACACACAAGGGCCATTATGTTCTTTGACACAGTACTGAAAGAATGGTCAGTACCAAAAGACTGGAGAGGCTGAAAATTCAGGATTTTTTTCACCCACTGAGAGGCAGAAAAGCTATCTATATTCAACGAAGATTTGCAGCTCATTCACAAAGGTCAAGAAATGAGGGACTCCAAGACCCAAGAAGAACTGTTCAAAAGCACATTCATAATTTATTATGCATTTATTTATTATATATTATCTGATTTATAATACAGATGATGCAACAGTGCTAAATAGAACAATTTATCATTCTGCCTGTGCATTTGTTTTAAACGTGGTTCCTTCAGTGCCTTGGTGATGGTCTTCCAGAAGATGGCTGAGGCTGCCTGAATTTTGAGAGAACAGCAACAGAATCAACAAAGGTATAAATGTTATATTCATGATGCTGAAGGTTCTTGTAGGTAGAATTATCGAATTCTTCTGGAGCAGGCTCAGCAGCTTTTGTGGCCTCTGTGAAAACAAACAATAACTGGTGACTATAAGGATGCCACACCAGAGGGCAATATTCTTAATTACTGAGCCAACCTTCATATACTGTCAGATCCCTCATCCAGTCCACATTAAAGAAAAAAGTCAACAACTATAACAAAAGGGTAAGTTTGCTAAGTTCTGCTGGTTCCTTGGCTGGTCTTAAAGCAGCACATTAGCATGCAGTAGGGGAACAGGGAACAGTACAAGTCATCTAATACAGCACAGGTTTTCAAATCCAAACTACCACTTAATGCTGGGGGAGGATAGGGCAGAACATTTCATTTATATTTTGAAGACATATGTCTGCATTTCCTGGCCTTTTCATAGTTGCTTTGGTTTTCGCTCCAGACAGAACAGTGGGTGACATTCTTCACAAGCCAGAAGAGGCAAAGAAGCAGTACAAATGATATATCATCATGTCAGACCACGAAATACAGCTATTAGAACTGCTTTACAGATTGAATTTTTAGCATGGGGAGAAGTGATGGAATTGTTGACATCTCCATAGTTTAATTTCAAATGTGGTTACGCTGAACAGTAATCTATCAAGAGCCTTTGATGTAAGTTCCCTTTCTTCTAAATGTAATCTTCTAAACTTTGGACCAGCTTTTATTCCTAAAAGAATAACCTAATAGAGTTATTCAGAACTCCTTACTTCACATTAAAGCCAACATTAACTCTTACACTTTTAGAATATTATGCAAATTTAGGCAGTACCATTTACATAAAGTGTTGCTGTTACGGGCTGGTTTTACAACCAAGGAAATTGCAAGAAATAAAACTTTACTCCCAATATTAATTTATTCTCACATACCCCGAGTTTTAACAACAGGAAAGACATAAGCATGATCTAGTGAAAAGCTTTGTCATATAAATTTGTATGTAATGGTTTAGGTTAGATCGTATTAAGTTTCTTTTTGTAATACAACCTTCTAAAACGAAAATACAAGAACTCAAGTAACTGAATACTGGACTTTCCCTTTAATTATGACATAATTATTGCAATGTAATGCTATCAGTTTAAGAGCATGTATCCATAATGTTTAGCAAGACTTGCTTATAAAATGCAGCGTAGTAAGCCACAGTTTCAGCAAAACAACACACACAACCTATGAAAGAAAATATCCCTGTGCTCAGCTCCTACCGAGACAGCTCATAGGAGACAACGCTACAGATACTAAAGCCAGATGATGTGGTCTTTGGTGCAAATAGTCCCATGAACAGGCAAAGCGTGGGCAAGTGTACCTTCAACCTGCATGAGCCAGTTGTTCCAAATTAGGAGACAGATGCTCAGGAAGAAAAGCAGATGGAGTCTTATTTTTCCTGCTCAGACACACTGTACTTGGCTTCTTGAAGGAAGAATTTATCCCCGGGTTCATCCTCCCCATTCTTCAGACTTCAGCTATGCTTTCTCTCTTAAAGAGCAAGCATTTCACAGGATGTTCTTCCGAAATGAATCAGAGGAGCATTTCTGAGTTACCGTGCTACTATTTTGCTTCTTAGCAATTCAAGTCAGCAGTTTTTGCTGATTCCTGAGTGTGCCTGCTCTACAAACTGGACCACATCACCTTAACATCCAGGTTTGTAATGGGAAAAATCGCTTTTACCCCTTCAGTGTGCCTGCCGTAGAGTTTGCAGATAAACAAAACACAGAAACAGGACAGAAGTACAGATTACAGAAGGCATTGCCATTAACTGTGAACATTAAACACGGAAAAGCAGTAGCTGTTCTCAAAGAAGGTCTCAAAAGGAAGAGAGAACAAGACACCTAGAAATACCAGTGATGCTGTTGAACACGGTGTAGCTGGGTTTGACTCTGCTACCCCCTGGCACCCAAAAAGGTTTCACCAGCAGTAAAGGGGTATGAACTTGCCTGTACTAGCCCCCACCTCTCCTACAGCCGCTGCAGCAGAGTCCTCTAGCACGGGGCGCAGCACGTACCCAACAGAAACTTTCCTGCTGTCACAGCCCGACCACCTCCAGCTTCACAGTTATGCTGCTTTTACTTCCAAGTAGGCAAATTCTTTAATTCAAAGCTGCAACCAGAAGGGGGGTGGGTGGGTGTCCTAAGAATGGTATGCTGCCTAAACTGAAAGGCAAGAATGGTAAGCCCCCCAAGATCACGGCAGAGGGGCATTTGCTCTCAAAATACCCAGAACAAGATCAGTAGGTAAGTTAACAGACAGGTAGTAAATAAGAAGGGTAAGTGAGATATGGCAGTATAGGTGGGGAGATGATTATATGGTGCACAATGCTCTTTCCTAAAACATATCACCGTCTCCTCCCCAATTCACTACAAAAACTGGGTTATATGGTCAACTCTGTGCTACTTCAACACGACTCACCACCTACCAATCTCAAAATCAATACCTGTTTCTTGCATTACACTGTTCTTTCTTGAAGCCTACTGAAATGTGAAACACAGCAAGATTATTTTTTTTTAAATACAGGAGGATTTAAGCAAAAAAAAAAAAAAAAAAAAAAAAAAAAAAAAAAAAAAAAAAATGGCAT